TACATGGCCATTAAAGAACTTGTGGAACATTTGGCTAAGGTGGTGCAACAGAAAGGACCTACATCAGCCAATCAATCGATGTTGGATCAGATTCGTGAGCTACAAAGGGAGAATGCTAGATTGAAGAGTGGCAATCGTAGCCGTGAGGCCCGACCCAGTGCAAGTGCACGACCACCTTCAGAGGAACAGAGGGACCCCACCACACCCAAACCCAAGCCCACGAAGTCTGCACCTAAGAACTCAGGCTCAGCAAAGGCATGCCCACCGTCTTACCGGAGACCCAAGGCTAAGCCCATTGCAGAGTTGTCCACAGCACCTGTTCGCAGCCTTGAGGATTGTTGGGTGCCACGGAACGACTCAGGTGTAACCCACGACGATCCAGATGAACTGGCCACATTACCAGGATCTCCGGACATCACAGGTTTCAGTGAGGAGGCACAGGACGACGACGCTCAGGACTATGCTGATCCACTTGAAACAGTGGATTCTTTCCGACCTCAGACTGAGAATCCGATCTTGGATGAATGTAAGCTCGACAATTTCAAGGCCACCACCATCAACAGTTGGATCGCCTCGAAGGTCGGTAAAGAACACATGAATCGAGTTCGGAATGCTGCCGACGAGTTGTCAGCCGCTTTGTCTCGCATTTCTCCAGGGAGCAGGCCAGCCTTGGATGCCATTGCAGTTTCGTGGGGACTTCCAGTCAGTGCAGCAGCGAAGGTGGGAGAGAAATCTCTCAGCCTGTTAATTGCAGCCTGTTATGTCATAGGACAGGAATGACTCCAGCCTACGCTGGATGAGACCCGGGCACCACGTCGCACCAAGACGTCTGATGAACCAGTGTCTCGTGCCCAGATGGTCCAATTTCTAAGCATTTTCTTTCGATGGTTTTCCTTGATTCTTCCCGCACTCTTTCAGCTTTTACCTCATCGNNGCTGTACGTTCTCCTTTTGGGTTCTTCTCTACAAAGTTTTTCCGTAAGTTTCGCGATCTCTTACAGGTCAACCGAGTGCCGAGTGATTACTCATGGGAGTGGCATACTCAGGAGAGTGTGGTGTATGTCACATGTGGGACCAGGCTCTGCGACTCAATTTTACATTGGGTCAACCGCAGACACGATCCACCGAAGAGAATTGTCTCGTCGGCGAAAGTACCTTCAGTTGTGTCGGGACCGAATTGCCTACTTCGAACCTGCTCTCAAAGTCTGGGCTTTTCAAGGTGATTTCTACTGTGGGATCGGTGTCGTCTTGCGTCAGGTCTCTGATACTGTGGACAGGTTGGCTTGGGAGGCCAAATATATTCGAGATTTCCAACCACCATTGAACGCACCATGGGTAGGGCAACTTTTACGCAAACACCGTTTGCATGAACGCAGGTTTGAGTTACCAAGTCCAGGTACAGGACGAAGGTTTGTTGCTCGTGCTCATCGACATGCTCGATACAGATTTTCGACATCTTCGTATCCTGTAGATTCCAACGATGTTTTCCTTTCCTTGTACAAATTGGGGTCGAACTCCAAACGGAAGTTCTGGGAGGCTAAATGTCTGCGATCACGATCTACGGACCTGACTCACCTGTATTTGCGCTCTCGTTTGATGAAGTTCATCTCAGAACCTTGGAGGACTCGGGCTACTAATCAACTACGACTTACCCTGCATTTTCGTCAAGGTCATCCGCCCCCAGTCAACCGACCGCTGGTCCTCCCTCCACTTTCACATGACCTGCGACAGCAAGTTCGGACCTTACTTGGCAGGCTGATTTGTCAGGAACGATGTAACTTCCCGCCTCTTCATCTTCCGTCGACCAAGTTGGTGTACTGCAAAGGTCAACAACTTGCTGCACAGGTCTTTAACTACAGGAGTTTTCTGCGACGTTGGACTCGTACGCAGACAACAGTTTGTACCTGTGGCAGGTTGGCAGCAGAATATCCACTTGCAGTCAGGGCCAGCGGACATGTTTTTGCGGCGGCCAGAACTGTTGCCCCCAACGCAGCTTTGTCAGGTGCTAACTTGTCAGACACTATGTATTTCCACAAAGACAGGTGGATACATTTGACAAACCGGACTATGGAAAGCTGGCGCAGACGATGGCGCCTCCCCTCCCGTGTCAGACCTGTGTTGCAGGCATGGGTTCGGGAACAATGGCGACGACACGAAAACTTGTGTCAGGATCAACGGGACGGACATTGGACACCGAAGGAAGTTCAGCAAGCTCTAGGACCTTTTCGACAGCTCATTCGAGGCCCTGCAGATCATTTTCCGAATTCGCTGTTTGTGTCTTGTCCTGTGCATTACCATGAGCTTCTCATTCGGACTTTCGGCGACGAGCAGGTGTTCCAACCTTGTCGTAATGGTACAGTGTCAATCCTTCGATGTTTACGACAGGACTTCGAACAACGACACACCGATCTCAGGTTGTACAAGTGGAGTTTCCAATGGGAAGCTGGTCTACCCGTTGCCAGGATTCTACCGAAAGAGTCCAAGTCGTTCATGAAAGCTCGTCCGATCATTGCATACACGAGGTGCTGGCACACCAAAACAAGTTCCTTTCTCGCTACAGCACTATTTGAACTCATGCAAGTTGCTTTCCCCGCTCAGTCGATATGGAATACTGCTTCCGTACACAAGGCATTGGATTCTGCGTGGAGATACATCCAGGCTGTAGAAGCCCACTGTGAGGCACTAGAGATGGTACAACAGGATCTCATCGGGTTCTTCAATTCCGTGCCCCATGACAGGATTTCACAGGCCCTGGATCTCCTTATATGGAGACTCGAAGAACTTTTTCATCGCA